TCTATAGGAAATTAGGCTTTAAAGGCCCAAATCAGGAGATCCTTCATGTATCTAGAAATTAGTCTCTCGTTTCCATCAAAGACTCAGAGAAACTGACTGACTCTGTCTTAGGTAAAGAGGTAGTCAATCCAGCCTTGTGACTTATGAATTTCCCATGTTTGTGAGGCATGATATTATATAGTTAGTCTTAAAACTAAAGAGAACGAGAAGCTATCGTGGTGGCCACGATTTGCAGGACTTAGGAAGCAGAGGAAGCTAAATTTCTGTGAGTTTGAGGCCAGCCTGGTCTACATAGTGAGTTCCAGGACAGCCAGGGCTACATAATAAGACCTTGGCGAGAGAGGGGAGAGAGGAGAGAGAGAGAGAACAAAAAATGAGTTTCCCAGCCAAATGGTGGCAGCGCATGCCTTGAATCCCAGCACTTGGGAGGCAGAAACAGGCGGATCTCTGTGAGTTTGAGGCCAGCCTGGTCTACAGAGTGAGTTCCAGGACAGGCTCCAAAGCTACACAGAGAAACCGTGTCTCGGGAAAAAAAAAAGCAAAAGAGAGGAAGAAGTGAGTTTCCCAGCTGAGTAAGTTGAGACACTCTGCCTTTATCAGAATTGTTGCAGAACTTCTCAGAACCTTGATACACTACTGCACATCATGATCTCACAAAAGAAAGTTACAGCCGGGCATGGTAGCGCAGTCCTGTAATCCCAGCACTTGTGAAGCTGAGGCAAAAAGAGTGCCACAAGTTTGATGCCAGACTACATAGTGAGCTACATAGTGAGTTCGAGGCCAATCGGGGCTGCAGAGTGAAAGCCCCTGTCTCAAACGACAAGAAAAAGGAAACTGTAGAGTTTGCAGAACAAATTCCTGGAACTTATAATCCACTTTGGAAATGTTGCATACTGTCCTCATAATTTGGAAGCATATGTTCTTATATACAGAGTGAGCTCAATCTGCGTTTTAGGCAAGTGAATGGGTGTCTATATCTTTATTGTGTGGCCTCCGGCCAGAGAGCATTCTCCCCTTTTGTTTGTTAGGTTGGTTGGTAGGTCAGTCAGTTTTGACATCGGGTCTCACTATGTAGCCCTGACTGGCTTGGAGCTTGCTATGTAGACCAGGCTGGCCTCAAACTCAGATCCATCTGCCTCTGCCTCCCCAGTGCTGGAACTACAGAAATACGCCACCATACTTAGCTAGCTTCTGCTTTTGGAGCTTTGTGTTTATCTTCTACAACAAGGTACAGCAAACTATTTCTATAAAGGACCAGACAATAAGTATTTTAGCCTTTGTAAACCATCTACAGCTCTACAGCATGCCCTTCCCTCCCTCCCTCTCTTCCATCCTTCCTTCCAACATTTCTTCTTCCTTCCCTCCCTCTTCTCTCTGAAGCATAAAAACTATTCTTAGCTCTTAGGTCAAGAACACAGGCTAGTGTGGTAAGGGCAGAGCAAGATTTTGGCTTGAGCCATGGCTTGCTGACTCATGTTCAACCATGCTCACTACATCCATGAATGGTGTGCAGAAATTTACCAGGTTTTCTGCATTTTGTTTTCTGTTGGTCCTTTTAAACCACCCTAGATGGTGGCCACTAAGCTACTTCCCTTCTCTTTCTCTCTCTCTTTCTTTCTTTCTTTCTTTCTTTCTTTCTTTCTTTCTTTCTTTCTTCCTTCCTTCCTTCCTTCCTTCCTTCCTTCCTTCCTTCCTTCCTTCCTTCCTTCCTTCCTTTCTTTCTTTCTTTCTTTCTTTCTTTCTTTCTTTCTCTCTTTCTTTCTTTTTTCAAGACAGGGTTTCTCTGTGTAGCCCTGGCTGTCCTGGAACTCTCTTTGCAGACCAGGCTGGCCTTGAACTCACAGAGATCTGCCTGCTTCTGCCTCCTGAGTGCTGGGATCAAAGATGTGCACCACTGCTACCACCACCACCCGGCACTACTTCCCTTTTCTAAGAACAATTGATGTCCAATGAAAGACAAAGATGAATTTCATTTGCAGGGTCACTTAGTATCGAGAGAAAGCTGAAATAGAGATTTTTTTTTTAAACACCAGGCTTGCAGAGAACTCACTAGACCTTAATACTCAGGAGAGAAGACACTGAACTACAGTGTATAATTATAGCATCTCTGTTATTTCTATGAAACAAGGGGTCAAAGCAGTGGCTTTTGGGCTGACTCCATGGTAGAGCACCTGCTTAATACATAAGGCCCCTCGTTCAATCCCCAGTTCTCCTATGTACACAAGCACTACCTTGTTGAAAGAATAACACACCCAATTGCAGATGCTCAAGAGGATGCTAACAGAGAATATGGGATAAAACTTCCAAATTGTCGGGTGGTGTGGTGCATGCCTTTAATCTGCCATGCTGTGGCTACTATAGACAAACTTAATGTTAGGAACTGGAACAATGGCTCAGTGGTTAAGAGGACTGGCTGTTCTTCCAGAGGACCTGGTTTAAGTTCCCAACACTCACAAGGTAGCTCACAAACACCTGCAATTCCTGTTCCAGGGAATGCAATGCCCTCCTCTGTTGTCCTTGGGCACTAGGCACACAGGTGATGCACAGGCATGGCTTCAGGAAAAACACCCATACACATGAAATAACTAAATATTTAAAAAAAAAAAAACACTTAATGTCAATCACTTTGTAGGTTCTTATATCACTGGGTCTCAAACTAATTCTATGAGGCAAGTTAATGTGATCTCCACTGACGCTCCAAGAGGCTAGTGAATGTGTTTACCTGCTCAGAGGACTCATGGCATAAAAGTGGGTCTCCCTGGCTGCAGTCAGAAACTGTTTCAGTATCTCCTGCTGATTTGAATCACTTCCCTGAGCTCGTGATCAGGGTACTCACAGTCAATTTCTTACACTGTCATATTTAATTACATAGAACATTAGCTTGTTTGATAAATGTTTCTCATGTTAGCCTTCATTCAGTCTCTATACAGATTGATTTCTTGCATTCTGTCAACCCAAGTTCAATATTTGAGTTAAAATTCCATTGGGTTCTTGGCTCAGAAATAGATTTGTATAAATATACTCAATTGGTTTTTGACAGATGCCAAAGTAATCCAATAGAGGAAAAACATAGCTTTTTCGAAAATGGTATCTAAGTAATTGACTATCCACAGGCAAATAAATAAACTTGGATCACATAAAAAATTAACTCAAAATGGATTTAGGGCTTCAATGTAAAAATATAAAACTATACAACTTTTCGGAAGAAAAGTAAGAGAGAATCTTTGAAACCTAGGGCTAGGCAAAAAGTCTTTAGATCCAACACCAAAAATACAACTCACAAAAGGAAAAATTAGTAAGTTTATCAAACATCAAAATTAAATACTCTATTGACATATCAAAATTAAGAATCCTATTGATAACTCTATAAAGGAGATGAAAAGGTTACAGACTGGAAGAAAATATTTGTAAACTATATACCCAGAAGAGAATTCACAAAACTCAAGAGTTAAGCCTTAGTCACCCAAATATGGTGGCCTGTGTTTATAACCCACTCAGGAGCCTGAGCCAGGATTGTCAGTTCAAGGCCAGTTTGCACTATGTAGTAAGTTCCAGACCAACCTGGGTTATATAGTGAGACTTTGTCTCAAAAAATTAAAAAAAAAACAGCCAGGTGGTGGTAGTGTACACCTTTAATGCCAGAACTCAGGGAGCAGAAGCAGGTGGAGCTCTATGAGTTCAAGGCCACCTTGGTCTACAAAGTGAGTTCCAGAACAGCCAGGGTGGTTACACAGAGAAATCCTGTCTTGAAAAAACAAAAAATTAATTAATTAAAAATTTAAAAAAAGACACAAACACCAAACCAATTGGAAAATTGGCAAAAGACATGAATAGACACTTTACTAAAATCGATGCACAAACGATGAATAAACATGAAAGGCTACACAGCATTGCTGGCCGTTAGGGAAATGCAAAGTAGAACCAAAGTAAGACATCATCCATGAGAACCGCCAAAGTAAAAATGAATGGCAGTGCTATGGCTGGCAAGGGTGCAGAGCAACCAGATTGTTCATGCTTAGGCATTGTCAGTGTGGCCGCCACAAGCAAAGTCACCATGGAAGAAAATATAGCAGTGTTTTACACAACTCAACACTTAACCAATACTCAGGAATTATGCCCTTGGGCATTTATCCTAGAGAAATAAACTTAATAATCAGACAAAAATTCTGCATGCTTGTTCATAGAAGCTTAATTTAGAATAGCCCCAAGTGGGAAACCACCTCTCCTAGATGTCCTTTAGTGGATGTGCTTTAAGCACATTGGTAAATCTATACCATGGAATACTATTCAGCAGTAAAAAAGAGCTTTTACTACTTGTAGTACCTTTGTTGGTGTTCAAGAAAATCATATTGAATAGGGGAAGAAATCCAGGCTGGAGAGATGACTCTGCAAGCCAATGCACTTGTTGTCAGCTGGACAATTTGAGTTTGATTCCTGGGACACATATCACGGAAGGAAGGAGCCAACTTGTGAAAGCTGTCCTCTGACCTCAACATGCATGCACACACATACAGACAAATATCACACACACACACACACACACACACACACACACACACACACGCACATACCACATACACACACACACACACACACATGCACGCACGCACACACACACACACACGCACATACCACCACACACATACACACACACACCACTACTACCACACACTCACACACCACTACTACCACATACACCACCACACACACACACACACACAAACACCATACATACACACAAAAAAAAATTAATAAACAAACAAACAAATGGCTGGAGAGATGGCTCAGCAGTTAAGAGCTCTTGATATTATTATTCCAACTGACCTGAGTGCAGTTCCTAGCACCCACATTGGATGACTTGCTGTAACTCTAGCTCCAAATTTGGTACTTTCTTCTAGCCTCTTCCAGCACTAGTGCACATGTGGCATGCATACACACAGACAGACAAACACACACACACTTCAAAACTAAAAAAAAAATCTTTTTTTAGGAATGAAAGTATGCTCACACCGACAGCAAATACACTAGAATTGGACCAATCCAGAGAAGATTGGCATGGACCCTGCGTAAGGATGCCACAATTCATGAAGCATTCCTTATTTAGATAATGATGAGCCGGCGGTGGTGGCCCACGCCTTTAATCCCAGCACTGAGGAGGCAGAGCCAGGCGGATCTCCGTGAGTTTGAGGCCAACCTGGTCTACAGAGTGAGTTCCAGGACGGCCAAGATTACACAGAGAAACCCTGTCTTGAAAAAAAAATCAATATTAATGAAACCAAAATATAAAAAATAAAGATAAAAGTACTATCTCAAAAGCAAACATACCATGTGGCTAATCTTGATTTTCAACTTTACAAGATCTCAAATCATCTAGTTTGTTGTTGTTGTTGTTGTTTGTGTTTGTGTTTGTTTTTGTTTTTCAGGACAGGATTTCTCTATATAGCCCTGGCTGTCCTGGAACTCACTCTGTAGACCAGGCTGGCCTCGAACTCACAGAAATCCACCTGCCTCTGCCTCCCAAGTGCTGGGATTAAAGGTGTGCGGTCACCGCCCAGCTGTGAGAGAGTTTCTGGGTTGAGTTAATGGAGGTGTGAAGACCTACCTACAGGTAGACAGCACCGTTTTATAGACTGGGGTACCGGGCTGAATTAACTGGGAATGAACTGAGACCAACATTCATTCACCTTTCTCTGCTGACTGGCTACTGACGCATGGCCAGCTGCCTTGTTCCCCCGCCACCACGATAAACTGTGTCCCGGAACTGGGGGCCAAAGGAAACCCATCCATCTCTGAGGTGCTCTCGTCAGATAATTTGTTGCAGTGATGAAAAAATAACCAACACACTGATTCTATTTATACAACATTCTTTATGTGAAAAAACTGTAGAGGGGTAAATAGACTGGTGCCTATTAGTAAGCAGGGAGAACAGAACGCCGTGGCTGTACAAGGGATGCACAAGGCGTCCTCTCAGTGGAAATGTTCTGTAGTCCAACTGTGGCGGGAGCCAAACAATTTTACACATGTGAAAAATTGAATAGAAATAAGCATACAGATGCACAAAGATAAGCACATAAGTGAATGCTGTAAACCTGCTAAAACCTGAAGAAGGTGGATAAATTGTGTTACACGGTGTCTGTATTCATCCATCCATCCATCCATCCATTCATTCTTGTTTTTCATTCATCTTTAAATTTTTATTTCTTTTTATGTGTTTGAGTGTTTTGCCTGCATGCCTGGGCTGGTGCCCATGGAAGTCAGAAATGGAAGGTGGTGTCAGGTTCCCTGGAACTGGGGTTAAGGATGCCTATGAGTCACCATGTGGGTGCTGGGAATCAAACTTGGTCCTCTGCCAGAGCAACAAGTGTTCTTAACCATGGAGTCATATATCCAGCTCTCTCATTCATTTTTTGAGACAGATATTTGCTACATAACCCTGGTTAGACTAGTACTTGTTATTTAGCCCAGTATGTTTTCAAAATCACAAGCAACCTCCCAACAGCTTCCCAAACTCTGGGGTTACGGATGTGAGCCACCACACCTGGATGATAGGCTATAAAATTGTCAAGTTCCTACTTGTGATAGTTACACATGGTATTACCATAAATGGGCATGGTGGTAATAATCCCTGTATTCCCGTGGTGCCTATAATCCCAATATTCTGGAGGCTGTGCAGAAGGATTATGGGTTTGAGGCCACCCTGGGATAAAAAAGTGTGCTGGTTAGCTGTTTGTCAACTTGATACAAGCTAGGGTCGTCTGGGAAAGAGGGAACTTAATTGAAAAAAATACCTCCACCGGACTGGCCTGTAGACACAGCTGTAGGGCATCATCTTGAATAATGGTTGATGTGAGAAGAGCCAGTTTACTGTGGGCAGTGCCACTCCTGGTCAAGTGGTCCTGAGTTCTAGAAGAAAGCAGGTGGAACAAGCCATGGGGAGCAAGCCAGTAAGCAGCACCCTCCATGGCCTTCACTTCTGTTCCTGTCTCCAGGGTCCTGCCTTGAGTTTCTGCCCTGGCTTTCCTCCATGATGGACTATAAACTGTAAAGTAGAATAAACCTTTTCCTCCATGATGGACTATAAACTCTAAGCTAGAATAAACCCTTTCCTCCCAAGTGGCTTTTGTTCATGATGTTTGTCGCAGCATTAAGAAGCAAACAAGCCGGGCGGTGGTGGCGCACGCCTTTAATCCCAGCACTTGGGAGGCAGAGCCAGGCGGATCTCTGTGAGTTCGAGGCCAGCCTGGGCTACCAAGTGAGTTCCAGGAAAGGCGCCAAGCTACACAGGGAAACCCTGTCTCGAAAAAACCAAAAAAAAAAAAAAGAAGCAAACAAACACACATAGCAAGACCTTATGCTTAAATTAATAAATGCTGATAAACATATTACCTATGTGGGAGTGAAAGGCTTAGGGGTTTCTTGGGGTGATTTCTTCCTTCCTTCCTTCCTTCCTTCCTTCCTTTCTTTTTAACTTAAGGGTTTGTTTTGGCTTATAGCTCAAAAAGAATAAGAGTCCACCATGGTGAGTAGGGATGGCAGCAAGTGGCAGGCAGGGTGGTGGGCGGGAACAAGCCTAAGAGATCACTTCCTCAGAGTGATGTCCTTTTTTTTTTTTTTTTTTTTTTTTTTTTGGTTTTTCAAGACAGGGTTTCTCTGTGTAGCTTTGGTGCTTGTCCTGGGTCTTGCTCTGTAGACCAGGCTGGCCTCAAACTCACAGAGATCCGCCTGCCTCTGCCTCCCGAGTGCTGGGATTAAAGGCGTGCGCCACCACCGCCTGGCCGGAATGATTTCTTGTAAGTGCATTGAAACCTATAGTTATCTGCAAAGGGTTTTGTTGTTCTTAACTTCCAGGATGCTTGCTTCATGGCTCAAGGTGAGCTTGCCATTTAGTCTGTCACTCAGCTGTCCTCTAATAACTTGTGTCCTCCATCCATTATCTCTTTAACAGAGCCTGGGAAGATGTCTCCGTTGAACAGAAGGATGGAAGTTCAGCATGTGAAGTCCTGCTCCAGTCCACATAGAGATTAAGAGTCAGGAACAAACAGGAGCCTCCACACCCACAACCTTGACACCACACCTCCTCTCTGTCAGAGGCCATGTCTTAGGTCTTTGGTGAAAGACTAGCCAGGGCTTTCCTTCTCTATAATTCCTTGAGATTCCCTTAGATCCTTCCCGCTCCCGAGACTAAGTGTAAATCCTACGAGCATCACTCCCTGAGTGTTGCCTCAGAGAGGTTACTTCTCTTTCAGCTTCAGTCCCTAAGTCAGAGCTTGAAATTCCAGCACTGTCAGTGGATCGGATGAAGTAATGCATTTCAAAGGGCTCGAGGCACACCAAAGGGGGCAGTTATTATTAATAACAGGGCACAGTGAAGTAAAGTCTAAATATAGGCCACTCAGTCCTCTTTATCCTCTGGTTTGATGGGGAATGCTTTGAGGCTGAGTTTTAGACCTTAATTTTATCTTAATACCTTCTAAATGTTCCCTAGAGAGGCAGGTTCCCAGAAGGTCTATGATAACTATGATTCTGATAGAAATGTGATCAGAAAGTATAAAGAAAAGTAGAGTATTGATGATAAAATAAAATAAGAAGCCTTATGCCTAATCAAATGTTTCTCGTAAACTGTGAAGAAGACAGAGAATGCTCTTAGCCAGAAATTGGCCCCTGGACTTCCTGTCTCATAACCCCAGGTAACTTCTTGTTTTCAGTTTTGCAAGTGTGGGCTCTGTCTTTTCAGAAGTACACAAAAATGTGGAATTTGCAAAGTACTTTTAGGTACGACATGCCCTTACTATTTATACCACGCAGGACCCATGGCTGGTTTCAGAGCGAAGTTTTTCCACATAAAATCAACCCTTTTTGTGCTTTCCCAGCTATGACAGACAACCTTGCAAATTCACAAACAAATTCCTCAGCTTTATTACCAGTGCCAGTAACTGGGCTTGTAAAAGAACCTTTCATCTCCACATCTTAAGCAACATTGCAAACAGTAATTAAAGCTCCCTGATGAGGGAGGAGGTACATATTATCCAACACATTTCCAAACAGGTGAACCCAGACTTACAAATTAAAGGCCTGGCCATAGGTCACTAGGGGTTGGAGCAGGGAGGAGAGTAGAAATAATTCTAGACTTAGAAGCCAGGCGTGGTGGCTCACGCCTGTAATTCCAACACTTGGAAAGTGGAGGCAGAAGGATTAGAGGTTCTCACTCAGCTACCCATGAGGCCAGCCTGAGCTACATAAAACTCTGCCAAAAAAAAAATAAAATAAAATAAAAAATAAAAGAATTCTAGACTTTCCAGCTCTTGGATTCACCAGGGTGTTGGGTAGTAAGAGCCAAAGAAGCAAAATGGAAATGGCCCCTCAGGGCAGAGCATAAACAGTGATTACAGGGGCTGGAGAGAAGAAGGAGCCTCATATAATAGTACAAGATAAGGAAGGCAGGAAGAAAAGGAGGGAGGGGATGGACATATGAGGAAAACGCATGTGTGGATATATGAATGGATGGATACATACATAAATGACAAGAAGAGGGAAGAAAGGCACTTAGGAGACACTGTAAATGTATTTTATTCTTAAATTTGGTTGAAAGATCACCCCAAGGATCAAAGATCTTTGTGGAAGGGAAGGTGGAAAGACTGTAAGAGCAAAGGAGGTGGATAACTTCCAGGAAAGTATTGTTTTCCAGATACAACGGGGCCATCGCACCCATGAACGTATAGTGACTGACAGCACGTGCAAGACCCGCGCAAGCTCCACCCATGCCCAAGCTCCACCCATGCCCAAGCTCCACCCATGCCCAAGCTCCACCCAGACAAACACACATCCCCAACAGAGGAAGGACAAGTGATCTCACCTCCAGCTGAAAATCTATTAGCATTTGATAGCTGCTGGGAGAGAGAAGGTCACGGCCTGTAGCTGACTGTACACTGGAGCAGACCTGAATCCCAAGAATATCTGGGTAACACAAACTGGACTCAATAAGGAAAGAAAAAAAAAATAATCTCAAAGAACGGTGGGAAGAAATGGAAGGGTTGAGAGAGTAAAGGGAAGGAGTTGAGGGGTCTAAATTGTGTTCAAAATGTATTGTATGAAATTCTCAAGGAA